CGATTCTAACCTATTATTCCCATAATTGGATTTGATTTATGACTGTCGACGATAATAAAGGAATTCGTTTCTTCATTTGTGAATGCGCATGATTGGATAAATATGAAATTATCTAAAAGTTACTTGATTTTTAGAAAACAAAAAAAAAGATCCATTTTGCGATAATCAAGGTTAAAAGTATGCCTCAAAAGACCAAGAGTTTTTTTTGGTACCTGATTTGTGGTGTAAAACAATTTTTAGCATTGAAATTTGTAATTTGGATACTTTTACAAAAAAAAAAAATTAATTTAGTCAAATAAACGATCGTGTTCATCAAAGAACAACTTTAAAAGAACTTCACTACAACTTACCTGAATAGAAATTGGTTTCAACAATAAATCCTTGCTCCGTGGCTCCGTCTTCACCGTCGTTGTAAATGTACTAGATGATGATACTACGGGCGATGATAACATAGTTGCAAAGATTAGCTGGATAATAATATTCTATCGACGTTTCTTCCTACACAATTTAGGAATATTAAATAACGTGTAAAAAAAAGCGTAAATTAAATAGTAATACTTGATTTATCAACACGACCAGCTTCATCTTACATTATAGAATCTTGTTGATGAAATCCTCTGTTCTGATTAAATAATGAATCATATTTGCATACCATCCCTAATTCTAAACTTTCCAACATTAAAAAGAAATATAACCCTTCCACTACGTTCATATGTAACAGTTAAATGAAATTTAAATATTTTTTAAAAAAAAGAATGCTTTTCGTCTTTCCTCGTTAGCAAATAATGGATTAAAAACGCCCACACTTATTAATAATATCTTGTAATAAAAATTGGAATCCTTTATTCGTAATCATATTTCTACTTTTTCTATTAAGAAATTAGAGATTAGAAAAATAAGAAAGTTTTTTCTGGGTTAGCCCTAGTAATACTTTAAGTACAGCGACACTAGGCCGACTCTTGCTTTTAATATCAACTATATAATGTAAGGATCCTTCGCATTGTTTCATTACATGTCTATCCAAGAAATTTATGTCCAGCCTATCGCTTGCTGGTTTTTTATATGTTATTTCAAAACTTTGGTCTCTATTTTGGAGGAAAAAAAAATTTACTAATTAAAAAAAATACTTAAAGAAATGAATATTTACCCACCTTGTTAAACCAAAAACGTTCTCGAAATTCACTATTATATCCGAATTGATCTATTGTCATTATACTTAATTTTGATGATTTCCAAATTTACTTTATAAAAGTGATATAGTAATATCACATTACAAATTGCCCTGCTAATGGTGATAAAAGTCCTTTTATTTATAATAATAATGATTACATGTAAAATATTCTTTTTTTTAATTTAATCAAATTCCAATGTATCGAGAAAAGAAATAAAGTCGGTAAGAAAAGTATATTAATTCGATTTGTGCTTTGCTAATTAAATTAAATAAATGTTTCCTCTAAAAAAGATTTTCACCGTAAAATTAGAGAATCATCTGCCCAAAATCCTTCTCTTTCGCACCCAAACGAATCTCATATAAGAAAAATTAATATGCGTCTGTATGATAAATTAATTACATATCACATCCATAAACTATCCTACCCATAGGGATAATTTTGACTAAACTCTCCTCACCTGTACTTTCCACTAAATAAACTAAAAGAAATTTAAAATAAATAAATGAATACAGACCTGAAAATAGCTAAGCAAGTATCTGCTTTTTCTAAAGCCAATCAAATGTGTAAGCTTCAAGACATTCATGAAAGTTTAATTAAATTGTGTTACTGCTGTCGACGCTTTTCGCAGAGATTATTTTTTTTTTGTTAAAATAAAGTGAATTATATAATTTATATAATAAATCAATTATAAACAAAGAATATATTATTACGAATTATCTTTATTTCAAAAATTTCAATTTGATACAATTTCAGATTAAGGTTTTCAAAAAATAAATAATTAAATAAACAAATTACTAAATTTGAAAGATTTAAATAGTCGAATTGGATTGTGAATATTCAATTTGAAAAAATTCAAATATATCTTTGATTTATTTG